TCTGCTTCTTGTGGAGCCTCTGTCTCCTGGCTTTGACTCAGGGATAGTAGGGTGCGGCTCCACCAATCTGTCTCCTGCTGACTTTACTCCTCAATCTTGCCACTTCCTCCTGCAGTTTGGCCACCTGTTCTAGGAGCTGGTCCACCTGGGCACACCTATTGCAGGCTGGTTTGTCTCCCACCCCCACCCCAGGAGAGTGGTTTAGGCACCTCCCACATACCAAGGTCTGTACAGATGTCTGTGCCATCTGAGGCTCTGTCTGCACGGAGGCATCAGCCACCGCAGGGGAAGATGGTGCAGACCCCTTGGCCAAAGCAGCAGCCTTAGCTCTGAGACGAGTGCCCACCATTGTGTTTGAAGAGTCAGGGAGGATATCCGTGCTTCTCCTGGTCTCTAGTACTTTCCTTGGAGGAACCCTGCCTGCTCACTCTGCTCCTACAGCTGCCCTGTGAGGCTTCTGGACCCAGAAGAACTTCTGCGTCCCACTGCAGGAGCCGCCTCCTCTGGTGCTGTAGGTGTTGTTCTCTGTGGGGGGAGAGCTAGCTGTAGAATTCCCGGTAAGAATTTAAGCACGGGGGAGGGGGTGGTGGCTGCGGTCGCCCTGGCAACGGCTGTGCCACGTCAGCCTCTCGCGACAGAGCTGAGGGCGGGAGTCGGTTTACGCCGCTGACTTCGGGGTTTTCCTAGCAAGGAATCTCCCGAAAAACCCCTCTTTGCTCGCGATCAGTAGGTCTGTCGGGAGCTGGGACGGCTCCGAGCAGCTGATCTCGCGACTGACTGCTAGTTCCTGATTTTAGTCATTTAATGTTAGGGGGCTTATAGGAGAAAAGAGTATGAGAATAAGATCATGGCCTAATAACGTGCTGTTTAGAGTAATAGTAAGATGCTGGAACAGAGGGTAATAGTGTATCTAGTGATAATGACCCTTTTTGGCATGCGTTGCATAAAAACCCAAGAGAACGCAGGCACCTAGTGAGGAGCTAAAGACGAGAGCTAAACTTTCAAAGTAAGGAAAGGCATTTGGAAGACAAGGTTATGTTGAATGGAAAAAGCTAATTACAGGTTGTTTTGTTTGTTTTTTTAAAATCTGTTAACAAATTAAGAAAATCTGTAACAATGTAGTGCTTCTTTGGGAGAATATGGATCTCGGAAACCCAGCATGCAATTAACAAATAAGCAAATGCCAGGGAAGTTTAGCAGTGAATTATTTATGCAGAACATAATTTTTAAAAATGGAATAAATTATCAAAAATGGCACAAGAAGCCAGTCAAATCTGTCAGAATGAGGGGAAAGAAATGAGGATGGTGCAGATAGATAATTGAGATGATGGGCAAAGGATGCTACTTTTCCACCTGCAGCTGTGGAAAGAGAAATATAAATAGAGCTGGAAAGAAAAATAAGAAGAGAATGTTCTTCAGTATGTTAGAATCTGGAGAGAGTTGTTTTTCTTTTAACACTATACTTCTGGGGACCGGGGGCAACATGGATTTTGCTTGTTGACATTCACACCCACTTCCTGGGCAGAGTGAAACCATTTAATCATGGCCAATTTCTGCTGTTTCTGGACCAGTTGTTAGGATTGACCTATATGGCAAGGATAATGCTCTACCTTTTTATTTAGATCTTCAAGCTGTGGTTGTAACCACTCTGCAAATGGTCAAAATTGTGAAATGTGTCAGTAAAATTCTTAAAAGATTTTTAGTTTGGTAGTTTGATAAGAATTGGAGAACATTAGGGATTTCCAGAGCTAAGCATCTTAATTCTTTATCTGTAAGGTTCTGATGGGCTACTTAAAAAGAAGATCAGTGAATTTAAGTTGACTTGCAAAATGATTTAACTAAGAAAGGAAGCCAAAATGAAAAATGTATACTTTACGGTATCTACACTTGCGAAGTACAAAACTGCAAATTTGCTAGACATAAAATTTTAGGTGCTGTCAACTACATTTTTTAGATGGGAAAATTTGAAAAGAATCCACACCTGAAGCCATTTTAACATTTTTCCTTTTGGATATTGAAGAAAAAACCCCATGAGATAACAGTGTAATGTGTACCTACTTCAGTTTTAACGTTTTTTGTAACACAGGTTTCTGAAGATGCTATGAAAGAAAAGAATGAAATAATTGGTCGATTAGAAGATAAGACCAATCAAATTAATGCAACTATGAAACAACTAGAACAAAGGTACAGGCCCATCTTTGTTTTTCTTCATTCATTTCTCCATCCGCTCATCTTTTACTGCATTCATACACAGTTGCCACGGAAATGTAACTTTAAACTAGAAAATTTAAAAAGAACCTTTCTGAAACTTTAACTAGTGCTTTACTGTTTGATTTTGTTTTCTTTTTTAACAAATACACTTTAAGTGCAAACTTAATATTTCATTTTGTTTCTTCCACTATCTTTCTTCCAGTCCTAGGTTTTTGTGCTGATTATCAAAAGCTGTTCTTTCAGCTTGTTCAAAATTCTGATTCATTATTACCTCTTTTTTTTCCCCACCTGAATGAAATGCAATAGAAACGAAAGCATTAGTTTTGCTTATACTTAAGCATGTGCTTAATATAAACATTTAATGCCTTCATGGATCGCTGCTGTATTTGCTGAAGCTCTTAAAATTGTTGTCCATTGCTTTGGAAGTACCATTATTTTCAATGATACAATGACCTTTGTGCTGAAAGGTTAAAAAGTGAAAGACTAACATTGCAGTACATGAATTTACATTATCATTAGACTGCATGTATTACATAATATTACAATGTGATTCATATGTTTTAATTTAGTGGCCTGTATGCAACACTGATCTTTTTAATTGTAAAATATAACACACCCATAAGCCCTGTCATGTTGGTGTTTGACATGTCTTTTTTTCTCATTTAAACGTGATTATGAAAAACATGGTTATGTATTTAAAAAACAGTGACATGAATATTCTTTTATTGACATCCTTTTTTCCTCTTTTTTCTTTTTCTCCTTTATCCCAATTTTTTTTTTTACTATTTTGCTGCCTTCATCTGTCTTTGATTTTTGTCCACTGCGTTCGTTAAGTGACAAAGATCTGTTAACTCAAACTAGGACTATTGCAATGTCATTCATCAAATGTGCCAGCAATGAAGCTCAGCACCAGTATAAACTTGTCAAAGATATCTCATTCTGAAAGCTCCTACAGATCTGTTGTGTTTAAATAATTGCTGATAAAATACACCTTAGAAAGTTTGAAATTACAATTTTAAATATAAAGTGGTAATAGAAATCCTGCACTGTAACTGATCGTAGCTTGGTTCTATTTTATTTTTTGAAAGAACATCATCTCTGATCTCACTTTACCCTTCTTAAAAAAAAAAAAGAAAAAAAAAGAGTAAATTATTGCACTATTATTAAGCAAATGTAAGCTAGTTTTCTAATGCTGTTTAATCCCTTCTTAATTGTCAAACAAAGTTTATTTTAAAAGTTTAGCTATCTTTACTTTGTATGTTTTATGACATTTGTTTCTAATCTAGTGATTTTTTCCTATTCTTCATGATACTGATAGATTTAAAAAGTAGCCCTTCTGAATAGTATTTCCCTTCTCCCCTGCCTATTTCTTTTGCTTTTAGGCTGCATTTATCCCAAAAGCATGACCTCTGTTGGTTTTTTTTGGTTAGTTGTAACTAGCACTGTTTTCTTCAACCAAGTGACAGGAGTTGGGGGAAGGGAGGTTGAATGCTATATCAGAATGATATATTGGAAAAAAAGAGGGTGCTGTCAACATATATGTTCAGTATGTACAGTGGGAGAATTACAAGGCTTGGGGATACAGCAGCTAAAGCACAATTCCATTTTGCTGATATGATGTGGAGGAAAATATTTTCATGGAGTTAAAATGTGTTTGGAGCCTGGACTTGGATGGGCTCCAGACAGGGAGGGCAGCGTGCTTTAGCAAATTTTGTAGCTGTGATTCCTCCCGCATAGCACAGTGGCACCATGATAGCTGCAGTGGAAGCTGCGGTGATAAATATGATTTACATTCAGGGCCCAGATCCTGAACTTGTCCAACTTGTTTGTCAGCTGAGGATCTTGCCTGTCTGTGACTTTGTCTGCACTGTAATCACAACCTATGGTTTCACCTAACCCCTTTTCCTGCCTTCCACCCATTGTTAGGGAGTCTTTGCAACTCCTGTTTCTGCTTGGAGTTGCTGTGTGCCTGCACTGCAGAAATTCAGGAGAGTTTTAGTTTCTGACTGCCCTTGATGTGCATCCCAGAGTTTGCTCTGAAGTGCGGAGGGGAAGCTGACTGGGAAGAGAATCTTAGGGTCTTTCAGCAGAAGGGGATATGTTTGCAAAAGTGGGGGCAGGATGCAATAACACAGAAAGAGTTTCTACTTGATGATTATGTATTACCTTATTCCTTGATTTGGAATCAGAAAGAACCTCTAACATGGGTTAGCTACTGAAAAAGAAAAATAACTATCTCCCATCCTTAAAGAAAACCCAAACCAGAAACACTGAATAAAACAACAAGTAGACCATAGCCCAAGTGGGAGTGTTAACCATCTCACAGTCATCTGTGCAAATAAGTATCTGCCTCAGTATCATCTGAATCACAAATCCTGCTGCAGACTTGGTCCAGCTCTGCATTTGTCTGATCTACAGTGGTACAGTTGGTCTTGGTGCTAGTCTAGAGGATGGAGATGTAGCCTGGGTTGGCTAGCATGTTTCTTGGGTAGCAAGCTACCTTGGTTGTGGAAACTGCACTGCAGTTTTATTTGTGATGTTGGGAGGGTTTTAATTTGCTTTTGGTGTTACTGTCTTGTATAGCTTCATTCAGCTTCTTTTGCCCAGTGAATGGACCCTGCTTTTTCCCAGTATTCTCCTTGCCACATGTGTTTTGGCCCTCTGTGCACTGCCATTGCGGATGTGACTGGGACCAGACTTAAAACAACTGGTATAGTTGAGTGAGTTAGTACACACCTGATAAGGTAGTTTAATTCCAGTCTTTTTTCCAGTTGTTTACTGGCAGCTTTTGGAAACCCCTGCTGTTGCAACTTCATCTGTAGAAGCACAGGTGTAGATATATTGCTGACTTAATTTCTTTTTAGCTGACACTGGGAGTTGTGAGTTACTCTGCATTCAGCTAGCTGCTGGGAAGTGAGAAATCAAGCACAGAGAGTGTCACAGATTTCTCCCACCACTTACCCGAAAGGACCTTGAAACAATTTTGTTAAACAAGACACAGCAGGTGGGGACATTCAGTAGTATTCTACAGCATTTTTTACGCCTGCCTTTTCCTCAAGACAGATGTAGCAATGGTACAGCACAAGTTCCATTTTAGTACCTTTACTTTTGCTACATTACATCCACATTTTTTGGACTGAAGAGGTGACAAAGCAAAGAGGAACCACAGTGACCTAATGGATTCCAAGGGGAGTGCTAGCTGAAGCAGAAACAAACCCCTGGAATTCAGAAAGGAAAGCTTAAATTAAAAAAAAAAAAACAAACAATCCCTCACTTCTTGATCAGTTTAATTTATTTTGTCTATAGTATGGAGCTATTTTAACCAGTGTAAGAATGCATTATTTTTAATACAGATTATTTAAATTAATTTAATAATATGATGTAGTTGAGGTAGTTCTGTAAATGTAGTGGGAGATGTCAGGGTGTGTCACACTGTATTATGCTAGTTAAGGTTTTTTGCTCTCTGATTGCCGTGCTCTGTATTCAGCCTTATGCTTGAATTGTTTTGAGCTCCTTTTGCACAACACATGCTCTGCCCTGTCGTAATGAGTGATTAGTACAAGACAAGTACTTTTACAGGATTTATTAAAAAAAAAAAACCCAAACTTCCAAAAATAACACATGAGCATATGCTAAAGGAAAAAAAAAAGGCATTAAGGTATACGCTTCAATTCTAAAATATGTATCATCATGCTTTGGCATCTGTTATTCATGAGCATAAAATAAAACAGTGATTACTTACAGCAATTACTCTCTTACTGTATGGAAAACCAGGAGCTAGTTCTCTAGGCATTGTATGGATTTCTCGTTTGAGTTCTGTGAGTTTCCCCCAAACTTTGTTTTTATTTAGAAATGTTTCTATTTCCCCATTTTTCTTTTATTTGTCTTCTTCACCCTCTACACCCTAGTTCTAGCTTCAGTTTTACCCAAAGTTGATTTGAATTACACCAGATTGCAGCAAGCAGAGAAGGCTCAAATGGAGGCTGAGGCTGAGGATGAGAAACTTAAACAGGAATATGTGAATAAAACTGAAAGTCTGCAGAAAGAATTCTCCCAGAAGGAGAAACAGCTGTAAGTATATCTTTCCTGTTTGGAAAAATATACAGCACTAAGCCTTCTCTATTGCAGTATGTCCTGTGCCTTATTACAGGCTGGTTGTTGATAAATGGTTTTGAACAGAATGTAAATACTAAAGGTCTTCTTGTGTGGTACTGGCAAGGTGGAAGAAAATATGCCGTTCCAAGAAAGTCAAGCTATCTTTGTGTGCCTCTAAAATGGTGTGCAGCTTGAAAGGAGGGGGAAGAACATAATTACTTTTTGTCTAAAAGTGCCATCTTAATTCACAAGGAAATTATCATAAGTGAGGGAAAGTACATAATGTAGTAATAGTAGTAGTAATGCACACTTTTAACAAAACCCACAAGTATGTAGTAGTGTAAACTTCAACAGAAATGGCATAAGAATAGTCTAGTTGATCAGGCTTATGGATAAGGTAGAAGTGGTTTAACTTACCACTGTGCAGGAAATAAAAAATAAAAATCCCCTGGAATCATAAATATTAAAAAGGAATATAAAGGCCAACCCTCTACCCTTTCTCCTGTTAAATCCTTCAGTACTGATTTAAATAAACAGGTAATGTAAAAAGCTCCCTGTAAGGGCAAATTTTTTTCCTGTTTGGAAAGATAACAAGTAAATTATTTAAAGCAGCACAGATATGTGGCACAACAAGGATTGAGGCTTAAAAATTAGTGATTCCCAGTCCCATTATTAGCCTGCCCTGCCTCTCTTACAAGTCTGAATGTTAATAAGCTTGTTTAACTGCCATGACAAATGCTCACTTTACTACCACAGTCATCTTTGCATATTTTGGCAAAAGAACAGTTCATACCCCAGCCTTAGAATTCTGCAATTCTGAAACCTCAAGGTCATGTTCACTTCTGATCTTTTCCAGCCAGATGCTGAGGTAGTGTCCCAAAATGTAAGTCTTTCCTTTAAAATCGGTTTTGGTTTTAAAACAGGAAAATTAATGTGGATACAAGTTTTCCATAAAAAAACCTGGCATGACTACTCTCAGATTTTTTCCTCTTTTATTGTGTTGGCACGATTTATATCTAGAAGGTTGAGCAGTGTGCTTCCATCCTTTGGTTTCTCTGTAACATTCCAAACACCAACTCTTCCATGAAACTGATAGCGAAATTCCAGCTAGAGTGGATCTTCCATCAGGGTAGCCCGAATTCCTTTAACTGGACTCCAGTTAAACATATAGGATTTAGATCCTTCTTTATGTTAAACCTCAGCTATGTAGGAAGCTCAATAAAAATGGTAATTCAAAGTCTTTCCTCCTTTATTTTCAATTCTGTTCAAAATGCCATAAGCCTTAGTCTAAAATAGAAGATTCGCGTCTAAGGGTGTAAAGTTAAATAACTTTTATAAGCACCAGAGATATATGCAATCATTGTCTGCATCACCAATGGCAGGGTGGGTGAGTGATTGGTTTGTTTTATTTTGGAAACAAGCTATGTAAGGCTAAGGGGGCTTTCCCTTATGCATGTTTTAAAAGTATTTTAGAATTTTGTGGTTAATCTTCTTGCTCATTTATTACAAAGGTCAGCTCTTCAAAATGATGCTGTATTCTTGGTCCTTTAAATACGTTTCTCCTTAAAAACATTTTCAAAGTGACAGTGTTTTGTTTTGTTTATTACACCAGTGTCTAAAATATTATGATATTGATACATTATTTCCATTTTAGAAAATGTGTAAGTTGATAATTTGTTTATTTTGATAATAGTACATTGCACCCGGAAATAAACTAACTTTTATTTTTAAAAAATGATACTGTTGTGCACAGTGATTGTTTATTTTGTTTTGCATTTTCTAGGCTTCAGCTGGAAACAGATTTGAAGATAGAAAAAGAGTGGCGGCAAGCCTTAGAGGATGATCTTGAAAAGGAAAAGGAAACTGTATCTCATCTCAGAATAGAGACACAAGAAATAATTAACCTTAAAAAAGTAAATTCTGCAGTAAAACTTGACTAGTAGTTTAGAAGTTGACTGATAAGTTAATTATGGACTTACACATGGTAGTGTTAAGAATTTCCGCAAGTAGATAAGAAAGATTAGATTATTGTATTCTCACAAATAGATTAAGGAAAAAAGAGGGTCTTTTACTCCCCATTTAGCCTTCACATCAGAACTCAGTGCTTTGAATAAGGAAAAATGAAAACCTCATTTTCCTATCTCACCTCTGACTTGGTATACATGGCTATATAGTGTTGCTGATCTCTGCAACCAATTGTTCTTATTTTCTTCCTGGAGGGGACTGCAGAAGCAAAAATGCTTCATCTCTTGGGGTGTAAGAGTGTTTAATCCTGAGATTCATGTTGGATTTGGGAATCTTATGAGTGAGTGTAATGGACCATTCATTCACGTGGCTTTCTCAGTAAGATCAGCTTTGGGTAGCAGCAGTTTTCTAGGCAGTAGGCAAATACTCTTTTGAGAATAATTGGGGTTTTTTGTTTTGTTTGTTCATTTTGCTTTTTTTGCTTTAAGGACTTCCTTAAACTTCAGGAAAAGAACAAGCAACTGAAAAGGATATGTCAAGACCAAGAAGCTGCTCTCCAAGAACTGGCATCCAAGCTGAGCGAGTAAATTCGTTATTAATGATAATGATTATTTTTGTCATATAACCGTGAAATAAGAAAAATGATGGTCATGTGAATTAGACTGTATATGACAGTATTACCTAGCCAGTTATCAAAAAGAAGTATGTCTAGTTAGGTCAGGTCTGTTTATTTTTATTTTTGGTTGGTGGGCTAGCTGTGAACTCTTGGGTGAGTTCCTAGTGCTCTGAACAGAAAATCCCAGTTTAGAAGGGCCTGGGGGCATTAGGAGTTGTTCTGCATTGAAAATGGTTGTCTGGTTTGCGTGTCCTGGCATTCCCAAAGAAGAACCCAGGTAGAAGATAACAGCTCTGCCTCCAGCAGGACAGTGATTATCTTCTTGTGAGGATGCGTGCTCATGGATTCCTTTGTTTGAGAAGAGGAAGATTCTCCATGTGACAAGTCACAGGCCATTGTTGCTGAGTCTGCAGAGGATTTAAGGTGTTACCTTATCAAAACCCCTCCAGGCCATAGTGAGCAATAAGCTCTGAGCACAGTTCTCCTTAATGTTACATGTTGTTTACAAGTTTCATTTCGTGATCTCTACCTTCTAAGTAGTTTTGCTGTGACCAGTGTGGTCTTTAATGCGCTTTAGAGTAACTTAGTAGAATATATACTGCGACTCAGTCAGTTCTGAGTGGGTTGGCACTGGCTGGCTGTGGAGAGGTTGGTTTCTCCATAATGACGTAATGTGGTCTTGGAGGAGTCCAGAGGTTTAAATTCTGGTTTTGAACAAATGCTGTGTGCTAGCTTTAGGTATTTGCACCGAGCTGTGCTGGTACAAATGTCTCCTATCCATGTAACCCCAAGCAAATTTACAGCCATTCAAAGGATCCCGAGCTCTTTGGAGAGAGCATTTACAGCCATTCAAAGGATCCTGAGCTCTTTGGAGAGAGCTTCTCTTTGTGTGGTGTCAAGTACAGCAGGGCGTGGTATTGATTACATCTCCTGGATGCTGCTGTAATATAAAATACTAACTAAAAGTTCAGAGTACTCTGCTTACAATTTTTTAAATACCTACAACTTTAAAAGTTGTTAGACTGTAACTGACAATCTAGAAGTTGGAAGTAGCATTATCTTGTTTTTTAGATCAAAGCTGAAAATAGAAGATATAAAAGAAGCGAACAAAGCATTGCAGGTTAGTAGTACCTTTTTTTTGACTGTTCTCTTTGAAATGTTTTGTGATCCTGAGAAGACCTCTCTCCAACAGCAACTATTCAGAAGGGACTCCCTGTATGACTTCCTTCAGTGGGCGTTAACAACAGACTCCCTGTAACCTCATGGGGAAAAGATACTCTGTTGGTTTTCATTTTTCTAGTTTGATGTACAGCTATGCATTTCAATAACTTTTCATGCAAGGGTACACTCTTCTGTATTTTACAAAATGTGTCTGTCCCAGAATATGTAGCCAACTGAGCTTAAACTATTGCTGCTTCTCACTGGTCAATAAATATTTGATCATCCTAGGAATTAAGTAAACTTGTAGCATCAAAGCTGACGAAATGCCATTTGTAATGTGAAGAGGTTTGTAACTTTCTTAAGAGTTATGTGGGGAGCACTTCAGAGATGGTGTCTGCACATGTTTGATCACGTGGTATGTCACCTTGCCTACTATTTCAATCCAAGTAAAGGTGTGTGAGATGGTTTTGTTGAGCAGATTCCTGGTTTTATTAATTGGTTTAGAAAGAAGGGAATTAACAGTTCTTGACACTGTCCTGGTTTTTTTGCTTCCCTGTGTCTTGTGGACTGTTCCTGTGCGATGAGCAGGGAGATAGGCTTCAGCTCTGAGACTCGGATCCATTTCTGCTTTTCCCAGCTCAGCCATTGACCAGCTTTACTACCTCAAGCATGTTCTATTGGCACCTGTTCCTCCCCTGTCTTCTCTCATAAGGCTTTGCAGTGTTTTGGAGTGGACTTGTACTGCTTTAGAGTCCCTGTGACATGATACGGGTCTCGGGGCATTAAGCAATTCAGGCAGTAAATGTACTGCTATTGATTTGTCTTGTCCCCTGGAACCCACAGTTTAACTTCACCAGATACATATAGGTACAATAATTTTTTCTCCAGGGCCAGGTTTGGTTGAAGGACAAAGAAGCTACACACTGCAAGTTATGTGAAAAGGAATTTTCTCTTTCCAAAAGGAAGGTAAGACTAACAAATTTTTTTCCAGCCTGTTTACAGGTATTGTGTGAAAAATGTTACCTTAGAGGTACAGCATGAAATGTCAGTGCTTAGATGAATGCATAGTTATTTTTGAGATGCCTTTCTACATCTTTGATGTGTACAATGCAGCTGGGCCCTAATATCAAAAGCAGCACTGTCTTTTGGTGAAGTGCCACAAAGGAGCATACCTAAAATTTTTCAGCCTACTTTGTGGAACCATCATCTCCAGGACTTGTCAGCTCTGGCACTGTTAAAAGTTGACACATGGAAGTATTTTTATGACTTTTTTTTTATACAATAGACTAAGAAATTATGAGTTTATTGTCATAAAGTAAAAAGTGATTATAATTTCCGGGCTTTATTAATGTGTGCAGGAATTTTTATTTTGCCTTTTAATGTTAAATCTCATTTAGGTGTCTGACAGAACCATCCACTCTCTTGAGTATCATCAGTTATATTTTTATATGGCAGAGTGTCTTCTTAATCCAGGTATTGAACAAAATCTACAAAGCATATATGTTTACATATATAAAGATATATATATATAGACATACTGTCCTAGACAGACCATCTATCTATGATGCAATCGTAGACAGCCGTCTGTCTAGGATTGCATCATAGATCGGGATTTAGGTGAATTATCTTTTGAAAACTGATTCCATGCTTAGACCAAAGAAGTGGAAGGAATCATGTTTCAGACTTCTCTGTGTATATGGTTTGTCCAATTACCACGTATATTTCAATTGTATATTTTTTTTTCCCTTTTCTTCCCTCCCTCTTTTCCCCATTATTCAGCATCATTGTAGAAACTGTGGTGAGATCTTCTGCAATGCCTGTTCTGACAATGAACTGCCTCTGCCTTCTTCACCAAAGCCTGTTCGGGTCTGTGATTCCTGCCATGCAATACTTATACAGAGGTGCTCTTCTAATGTGCCATAAGATTGTTTTACAAGAAGTTTATTACCTTTTGGTATTTAGCTCATCCTGTTAAAACAAAAGAACAACAACTAGAGAACATAGAGTGCTATTTCCAGAATTTTAGGTAAGCAGCCTAAAGTTGCATTTTCAAGGTACTGCGGAGGAGTTACTTGTCTGCTTCCTGTTGAAACAGATCGAGAAAATGGGACCCAAACATAGAAAATGCACGTGTTAAAACCACAGACGACAGTGTTAGTCCAACACATGGTGCAGAAGCTCTTTCGGAGGAAGCAGGGTGGCTTATAGAGGAGTCTCAGTGTCACCATGTATCTGATCAGTATCTTAGTCCTTACCATGAACTTCAAAGAGGTGATACCCTTGCCTGCTTTTACAGGCTAGTCTGCACCAAGTCCAACCTAATTCTGCTGCAGAATGTGCCTGTGAGATGCTGTTGTGAAGCAAAACTGTGCGGTAGCTAGTTTTAAATAGTATTTTTAAAAAGTAATGCAATTAATGCAGTGGTCCGATAGGTTATTGCCAACTACCGTACTTGTTTACTTTCCCTCAATGATCAAGATTTGATGCATCCAAGAATATTGCACTGATGACTCTGTAGTCACAGATGTTTGCCAGACAGGTAACAAGCCCTGCCTCTGGGCACCTGATGAAAGAAGGTGCATTTTGCTGAATAATTTTAAAAAATTACTATTAATTTGACATATCCAGCTTTCCATTGAAAGAGTGATGTCCACCACAAAATTTTTGCCTGACATTTGTCTGTAAGCTTGATCAAATATCTGGGTTATTTTCATGTAAGTCATGCCTTCAAGCTTGTACATGTAGCTGTAGAAGCAGAGTGAATCTGCCACCAAGAGAGACTAGGATTAGTTATTGGGAACTGCGTCCTTTCTGTGTCAGACAGGAAGGTTCTTCCTTATTTTCTCAAACTTCCAGAGTTTGTTCCTAAACTTCGTTTTTTTTCCAGAGTACTTCTGCGTGCGTCTAGGTGTGACCACTCTTCACACTGATGGCAACTTCTGCTGGAATGTAAATCCTTGTTCTTCCCCTAGGCAGATACAAATACATCCTTTGACACATTGTCCCTCACTCTTACCTCACTGCACTGGAACCAATCTTTTTGGTGAAAACCCGAACAAACTTGGTTTTGGCTGCTCATGTGATGGGGCCCAGCTGTGGAATCTCCACCCTCTGGTCAGCACTGACGAGCCAGCAGCAGAATTATCGCCCCAGTAGTTCTTTCTGCCATAGGCTTGGAATATTCTAACAGGCAAGGGAGGCTATGAAACAGGTCTTTTAATTTTTCTTACACTTTGCTTAGCTTTGTCTTTTGAAGATAGGTGTTTAGTTAATATCGTAAAAGCTAATACAACTGTTCTTTTTAACACCTCAATATAGTTGCTTACGTAGCATTTGTAAATAAAAATGTTTTTAAAATTATATAACGTAACTTTTTGTAAAATACAAAACAAATACTTGTAAATCTGTAAATAGCTTTTGGAAGAAAATAAATTTAATTGATCAGCAACTAAACAATGGGAATAATGTCACTTTATTTAAATTTGTAATTCAGAGTTTTTTGAATATTTTACTATGACTTGTTCAAGTTGCTTAGAAAGTCTCTGCATATGTTGGGGAGTGGGGAACTACCCTGCTAATGACATAAACCAAGTACTGTTCACACCTCCTGGAAGTATTCCGAGAGTGTTTTCCAGTGGGCTTTATGTAGGGCAGGTATGGAGGCAGCAGGGTTTGATCTAGGATATAGATTATGCTAATCTGTACTGCTTTAATAAGTAACTTTTCAAAAAGTGCAACTAAACAAAGTAATTTTTAAAATAGGCAATCTTTTTAAATAAGAATGTAGTGCATTTCTATAACATGCAGGAAATTAAACTTCCATTATTTAGCTGCAATCTTTTCCTCTTCTCTGTGCTGCTGTATTTGCATGGGAAAATGTCACTGAAGTAGTGGATAATTATTCATATTGCTTTTACTTAAAGTCAAACTTCTGCCTTGGACAAAATGGTGAATACTGTATGTTCTATGTGGTTTTATTTCCCTTAGCATCAAGCTACATACCTGGCCTGCTTCTTTTTTTTTTTTTTTTTTGGACCACACTATCATTAATTCTGTACATTTGCCTTTTTATAAAGCCCTGTTCTTGGCAGATTGTGCTTCTAAATAATCCTTGAGATCCGTGGGATACCTATTGCATTCATCAAAAAGAAACGGTAACCGTTCACAGTATTGGAGCAGCCTAGTTTATAATTCTTCTTGGGACATGACTTCTGACTTAATGAACTGGGGGCAGTAGCAAGTAAACAGAAAAACCCGCTCCTCCTCATCCCCACACAGGGATCACAGGAGCCGCACCAGCCTTATTGCCAAGGTGGTTCACTTACCGTGTTTGCACCTGCTTCTCTGAAAGCACAAGGAAAACCCAGCGGATTCCTGGCATTCAGCACAGAGCTGCTCGCTTCAGCTGTTCCCAGTTGGCAAACACACATTTCAGCTTCTGGTACTCTTCACAGCAAAGACTAAACAGTACCTTTGTGTACCAAGAAATGTTTGAACTTTGTGATTAAAACTTCCTCGCTGTCTGAGCTGTCTTTTTTTCATAGGTTTCCTTCTCAAAAAAATTCCTCTGCAATTTAAACGCTGCTTAAGTGATGTGAAAGGTTCAGTGCTGAATGCTCCTCCTGTTACAGGGTGAAGTGTCACCGTGGAGGAGACAGGGCAGCCCGAAGGGATTCGCTGACCAATACAGGGGCATTTCACTCATCAACACTCAGGTTTAGTGTCCTTTTTGCAGATTGCTTGGTTATACAAAATAGGTCAAAGTGTAATGCCCAGCTTGTTCTTAAAAGGTAAGTCTTAAAACAGGTGTTAGTGTGCCTTCTCACAAAATGGAACACAAAGAATACCCGAGTGAGGAAATGGTACAGAGCTGACACTGTTTTTCAGGTATCTACCTGCTATGCTGCTAGAAAAAACATGCTCCCATTAAGTGTGATGTCCTCTACCTTACTGCAAGATACTTTTTCCTGCAATCAGGTTAACTCTGTCCTGACCTTTGCCATCTTAGTTTACAAAACACATGTTTTTCCAGCTGCAGACAAGATCCCACTAGTTTTTAAGATCACGGAGTAAAAACAAAGCCCTGTAAGAGCACTGGTGTTAAGATCTCATCTTCCCACCTCTTCCTCTTCAAAAATATTCCAGCCCTTGGAAAGTGTCCTATGCCCATTACCCTTTCAGCTGTTATTTCCAGTCACTTGGACACAAGAATACACTCTCTGGTGAAATAAACTCCATTCTCCTCTCCCACAATAAGACATTTATTACATATATAACACAGTACTAGCAAAAACAGGTGACAGACTTTCAATACCCAAGATCACATTTGACATTTTAAGGGAGGCATTGAGGACAAAGCAGTTAATTTGGGTGATCACACTGGCTCAGAAGAATAAATACCTTTTTTTCATTACATATCAGGTATGTTAAGTGTCTCCAAACAATAGTTTCTTACATATCTTACATGTCACAAATGCACAGTTTGATCAATGTGTTTGCATTGTGTGTTATTTAACAAGTATTGGGCTTAGTTTTTATTTTAGAGATACTTTGGTTCTAATGAGCTCATCTATATAATGACTTGTCAAGTTTTGAACAAATACAGACAAATCAGCTCTATGCAACAACAAAAAAGGCTGAATCATGTTTAAATACAATAAATTAATGAAGTCTAACTTGCTTCCAAATCCCCCATTCTTCCCAAAAGCAGTTGTTTGTGAAAAAAATGCTACAGTGATAGCTTCAAATTAACTCGTATTTGACCTATTTGATGTTAGCTAAAAGCTGGGCTAGTGTTTTAGTTTGCTTTGCAAGTTACACGTGTGAAATGCGCTATCTAGCGTTCTACAGCAAAGCCTGGCACTAACGGTCATTGCTTGGTTTTGTGGAGGCACAAAACTCCGTCAGTACTTGTTTATGCCGTTGTGCAGTTGAAGATGATAGCAGACTCTGGTGGTACAAGGAAGAAGGCTGGAACAATGACTTTTAGCCTCCACAAGTTTAGGCTGTGTTGAAATTATTACATGCATACAACTTATCAAAAGGGTTTAGGAAAGATTGTTACCAAATAAACTACTCTACCATCTACCTCTCTGCCCTTAAACAAGTGAATTTTTCAAACTCATTTACTACACCAAGATTACATAGAACTGATTCAGTGTTAATAGGAGTTACAAGTACAACCACCTTTATTGAACCATAGTACAACATCTTAACTCACCCATAGTCTTGAATATGTAATACATCCTTAGGAGTAACTAGTATAAAAAGTATCAACATCAGTGGTTTGAATATAAAAATTTATTTAAAGTCAGAGTATGCAACAAATAAAACCTACAGAAAACAGATTTTCCCATCACAATCTGTTGCTTACCAAATAATATTGTGAAAACACATTCCTTCAGTCATTATAAAGTTTTTAAAATACAAAAGAAATTAAATTTTGTAAGAAAGTCTAGTAGACCAGAGACTGTTTTTTCCAGGATGTTTTGCAGAGGCAAGGCTGTCCTTCAATACATTCCGCGCCATCCTCCTCCACCCATACTGCCTTGCCCATAGTAGCCTCCACTATTTCCACTGCCACGACCTGCAAACAATTGACACAAGGTCACGCATACATACCTTAAAAAAAGAAAAAATGTGATGGGTAATATGGAACAGTTGGTTGAAGATGACTTAACTTACACTTAAATAACAATACTTCAGTGCTACTTTTCTAAACAAGCATTTGCTGCAGCAGCAAAATGCTTAAAACCCCAAGTGATTGACGGTTTAAATTAAACCACTACCCTCCTTCCCTTTCTCCCAGCAACACAAAGCCCTCCACCCTTCTATCCCTATCATCCATCAGAAGATGGATGTTAGCAACATTCTTACAAAATACATTTAAAACAGAACTTCTACTTACTATATCCACCCAAGCC